GATCTTCCTTTTATTTGTCCTCAATTCGAAAAAGTATTTGGGAAGTGCGAGATATTTAAATAGAAACGCGTTTAAAGAAAACAATCTCGAGCTTTACTCCTGTATTACTTGTCCACTTGTTTCAAGTGAGCTTTTTGTAGCTAGCTACAAGTTATATATTTTATAGAAATCCTGCGAAAAAGGTAACTAACTAGCTAAGTAGATTATTTTTCATCTATTGATAATTTTTTTCTGCAGGGTTACTTAGAAAGGATAAACAGATGATGAAGAAATATTTTATCAACACACCAGTCACATTAGATCTGAAATTCGCATGCAATGTAAAACTGGGACTCCGAGATTCCTGGAATCGCCGTCTTCTTTAAAGCAAATGAAAGGTAGTTAATTTTTTTTTCTTTCTTAGAGAAAAACTTGGTTAAAGGTCTCAAAAAAACTTACCCAAATGTTGGTATACAAATTTGGCAGAGTTCTGTCTTCTTGGAGAAAAAATGAGGGCTAGAGTTCTATCTTTTTGGATAAAAAATTAAAATTTATGTATGTATGTTCGTTTTCGAAAACCCTTTTACAAAAATTGATTATTAGCATTTGTGTAGAACATTCCCTCTAAAGTTAAAAGTTGAAATTAAAATTTTCTACGCAAAAAATGTGTGATAAATTCTTTTAAGAAAAGAATTAAATGCATTTATAAAAATTGGCTTTGTGATCAAAAGGTTAACAGTTTTCGCATTGTAAAAAATAATTGTGGTGAGGTAAAGAAAAATTATTTTGAAATTTTACTACCACATACGAAAACTGACGTTTATGTGCAATTTGGTTGAGGCTCTTAAATGTCCATTTTTCTGGACTGGAAAAAAGCTTGAGCAGACATGTTTTCATAAGCGGGTTTCACTGTAAAAAACCTTAAAAATTATTTCTTGATATTACTAACCCTTAATAAAAGAAAAAAACGTCGAATTTTCCATTTCCATCTCACATTCAAATTTAATTTAAAATTTTTGACGGATAGTTAGTACACTTTATTTGATTACTTTTAGTTATTTATTTACAATATAAATAGACACAATATTTTTCTAGTATTTCATTCATTTATTACTAAAACTTACTAGAAGTTCTTATACATAAAGTAGAGATACACTTAATACTTAAATAAACAAATTATTCGCTTTTAGTGTACTTAACCTATAGTCCATTCAAATCCTACTTTGGCACATTCACAGCTAACTAACTACATAAATCAAATTCTGGAGCACATAAACGAGTTTTTACAAGTAAATATGTGCTATAATCAGGCTTACTAGTTCGGGAATTGTTTTGCATTTACAGGGTGACAATAAATAAGTGTTTACAAACTATAAAAGTTCATTGTGAAGGACCTCGTAGCTTATAACAGATTATGTATGCCATATGGGCAAATTCATAAAACAGGTGCACTTTCAAAACAAAAAGTTAAATTTTTTCATTTGTGGGCACACCTATGTTTTATATATCATTCTATTCGCAATCTCTTAATAAATCGATAAATATAAGTGTAATTCATTTTCATCAAGTACTTCAAAAGTTAGACGAGGAATAAACATTTAGATCGCTGAAATAGAAAACAAAAAAATTATTTGGGTTCAAATTACGCTGTGCAAGTTGTAACTATTGAGCAAAGATTTTGAAAGTTGAACAGACTTAATTGGGATGATCTAAATTCAATGGCATCCTCCGTTTTACCAGATTAGTTCCGGTTTTCGAGATAACGGAACTTGAAAATTTTATTAAATTTTAACTATTTTATAAATAACTCCCTCAGTTTTGAAGTTATTGCACTAAAATTTTGCATATAACGGGTTTTTAATACCACCTTTTAACATATAGCTATAATATAACGGATTACTCCGATATATATTTGCGCTCTGACTCTAACTTCATATCTGAATAATAAATTGTATGCGTGCTACATATATGTTAAATTGAACCTATACTAAATTTTTACCTGCTTAATTGGAGCAGTTGTAACGCAAAACAACGTTTCCGATCAATCAGTTGTATGGGAGCTAGACGTTATAGTGAACCGATTTCGATGATTTTATGGAATAGTTAAGGTAATATTAAAAAACGGTTACGTGCAAAGTTTTAGTAAAATATTGAATTAAGAAGGCTCCAGTTAAGTAAGAGCAACTATCAGAACCTTTGTCGAAAAAAAGTTGCTTTGATACCACTCTCGAAATATTCCGACTAAAAGAAGGAGCATCATTAAAAGTAGTAAATCAGGGTTTTTACACACTTCTAGAGACATATTTTTTGAAGCATTTTGCAGGTATATGTAATTTTATAAGGACTAGCAGTTATAGAAAGATTTAGATCGTTTCGACGTATTTTCCAAATGTGCCCTCAATTAAGGTGTTTTTGAAATAAAAATTACGCTCAAGATCGCACAATATTTTATCTTTAAAAGTTAGTTTATTCTGAAAGCACATCTCTTGCTAAGGTATCAAATTATTTGTAATTGTTTGTAGAATACAATACATACTTAAAAAGTTCTTAAAATTAAATGCTTCAAAACCTATACGTACCTATAATAAACCGAAAATTTTGAAAATTGTGAAATGTGGAGCTACAGACTTTGAGTTACTTGCCATTTCGTTATTTTTTAATGCACACTTTTCTTACCTACTACATATGAAGTGTACACATAAGTGCTAAATGGCCATTAAATTTCAAAGCAGAATATGGTGTGCTTCAAAAAAAATTCACTTGTTTTCATATTTTTTTTTTTTTGAATTAAACACCGATATTTCAAAAGTTATGCAGCCAATTGATCCAATTTTTTTTGAGGCTTCAAGTATGCGTCAATGAATTATATCCAAAAGCAACCAGGTTGATTTAGTTTACAACAGTGAAAATAAAGTTAAACAACACAAAGGTTACCTGTTTTTTAGATTTGCCCATATAGGCCCTTATAGCATTTTTGCTCATTTAGGGAGTTAGAGAAAACCCAGCGGGAGAAGTAGTTCAATGCTTTAGAAGTTGCTTTCTAAATTCCACTGATTTTATAATTTTTAATTTTCCTACAAAACTGCATTTGTAATGAAAATGATTGTAGGCCCTTCTTCATTAAGATAACGACAGAATGTGGAGTTTTGGCAAGCATAAACATTGAAAATCTTAAAATTATGTCAATTATGTTCATACCTACATACCTACATACATACTACATATATACTTATATGTACATGTGTGTTAAAATCCCTATTTACATTTTTGCTATCCATATAGCACAAATCGACTGAATTTAATTTACAAAATTTCAAGTCATTATCTCTCAATATTCGACATGAATATTAATGTTCGGAAAAAGTATTTCAAGTCTTACTACAATTAAATTTTTAATGTATAACTACCAATAAAACTTATGTATTTAATTTGTATAGCTAATACCTTAGGTACTGTATATATACACACATAAACACTCATACGTATATGTACATCGAATAGTGCTGATACATTTACATTTATAAAAAAGGTTGTAGTACTTATAATAAATTCGTTAGTTTATGTACATTAATTTCCCTTTTAATCCTGTTTTTATTCGTTATTCTTAATCAGGAAGCAATTATTTTGTTGAATTGCTAGTTTTAAACGTTTAACTGTTTAAACAGAATTTTCTTCAAGTCCTTCCTGCAGAATAAATGAGATAAAAGAAAAATTAATTATAATAATTTCAGCGCTATTAAAGAGAAGAAAACATTGTTGATTTCTAGTAGGCATGCATATAAAAACTCAAAGTTTTCTTATTGGAAGTAATATACTAAAGAACGTGGCCCAACTCTTTGGCATATTTCAACTTTTAGGTTTTGCAAGTAACACCATAAACAGAAAAAATCACAAATTTTTTTAAAGCACCTGACATTTTATTTGCTATGTATGAAATCATACTCTGTTGCAATATGGTTCGAGGCACGTTCTCGTCCAAAATTCATAAAGCAAATTGAAAAAAAAAATAGCTTGGCAACTTTTCCAAATCCCTTAAAAATGTGCTTGCAACACTAGCACAATAATCTGCCTTTCCTTCTACGTCTGTATTCCACTTACATTTACATGTTTTCCCTCTGCGCTAACGCAATAACTTGTCGCTTTACTCATAAAAAAGGCATTGCAATGAAATGGAAGTCCAACAAACCCCTCTGGGAGACAGAACGGAGAAAAATTGCAAAAATGCAAATTGAACAGGCCAATAAACTGACGGACGTTAAAATTGTTGAGGTTGAATCTTGGTTGGCTTTAAAAACTTCTGCGAATCACCCGAAGCAAGGATGTTGAATTGTACATACCTTCATGAGCGGACTAATCGCTCGTGGCATAATGTTCAGCGCCGTGACTGTGGGCATCATATGCAAGGCACCGTTTGAGTCGCGTTGCATTGCCAACGGTGCGCCCGTGCCAACATTTAACGAGAGATTCTGGTTGTGGCCCAACAGGGTGGTGGTTGTCGCCGATGAGACGCACGACTCGCGCTTTCCTTTGCCGTAGTAAGCTGTGAGTGGCCTGCAAGGAACAAAGCAAAACAAACGCTGCACAAATATTATGCGATGGCAAATGAAAAACTGAAATTAAAAAAGAAACGAAAAGGTAGTAAAATTGTAGGAAAGCTAAGTGTTTATGTTTGTTAACGAAAATTTTAAATTTGTATATATCGTTACCTTAATATAGAAAGGCCCTAACTCATTTTCTGTTCCAAATCCAGTATTGTACAAAAGTCTGCCGATAACCCATCAATCACCCACTGGATTTTAAAAATATTTACTATAGCATAAAATTAGTTACATTCTTAAATAAAAACAACCTATAAAAGAAACTCGCAGCAAAAGCACTTGATTTTATAGGTAATTTTCTCACCACTGCGTAAAGAAATAAAAATTTTAGATAGGGCTTTTCTATATTAAGCTAACGATATGTAAGTATCTATTGTGTAAAGTTGCTGCTTCCATAAAGATTTTATGATTTAAAAATAACATACCGCGTGCTTTCTGTTCTTGGTGAGCAGTCCTTTGAGAAACTCTTTGTGGTGTACCTGAAATAAAATTTAAAAAAGAACGCGTCAAGATCATCCTATGTTTTTTTTTATATATCTAAGAAAATTTTCATCAAGTATATATTATTTTTTATTAATTAAGGCCACTTCGCGCATGTACAAAGGGCGGCAAGCATGCTAATCATGAGAGCGCCTCCAAATCTACCAACCTCTATAAAGCAAATGGAGAGACGCATAGTTCGGTCAAACCAATTACCCCCGACATGTGTACATACGTATGTTACGGCTTTATATCTTGAAAACATGTTCTCCATACGCATATAAGACCTCTTACTGAATCATTGTTTCAGGCAACTCATATAAACACTCGATTCTTGTCTTACACTACCTTCTTATAGCCAAGCAGCTATCTGGTTTCTAAAAAGACGAAGATAACAAAGTCTCTGGGGACGATGGAATCCCCGAAGATCTGTAAGAGTACAAGTATCAGCTGTTAGCCCATCTCGTATCGGTGTTGCATACATGTAACAAATGCATTTAACTAAAATAGCTATTTATTTTTCACGCGTTTTCAAAAATTTGAAAAATTTTATTATCTGATGTTTTTTCTACATATATGCAAAAAAATACAACAAAAATATTTTTACTTATAAAAATTTTATTTTAAAGAAAGTACATTTTTATACGCTATAAAAGATATATATATATCGTCGTTTAAAGTACAAAACCGCGTAACTGACATTGGCTGCCAAAAATTGGATTTCCTCACACAAGCTCTTGGCTCAATCCTTATCCATTCGTCCTGAAATATACTAGCCAGAAATACGGCTGCTTTATAAAAAAGAGAACCATTTTGAAATATGAGTGGTTTTACGCTCTAGAAAATAATTTCTACAACTTCACATACGCGGTTTTGCACTTTAAACGACGATATAATATAATGACACATTAAAAAAATTAGTAAAGGATTCTTTTATATTTACATCTTTTGCGAGAAATAATTTTTTTAGAGTATATCCAATCTATAAAAGAGTCGTTCAATTAAAATTAGTTTGACTTTCACAAGCGCATGGACCGTCATAAGACAGGTTATAGTAATAAGTTTTCACAGATGGGTTGTTTCATAAACCCTATTGGAATATATTTTTTCTTTCGAATTACGTTACTTAATATTTTGAAAAAATTCTAGTTGTTCACATTTTTATAATAAGTAAAAATAAAATTATGTATATGGTTTTATTTAATTAAGTTCCTTAGGATCTAACAATAAGTGGTCTGAATTAGCAACATTTTTTTCTTGGGGGTTTAACACATCCGGCCTGTTAAATGCTGGATAAAATTTTAATTTAATACAAATCCCCTCAGAAAGATATCAAAACTATCTCCGGCTCAGACGGCTCCTAAGATCTCTGGAGCCTCTCTTTTGCACCGATGGAGTGAGGTCAAGCTCAAGAGTTTGCACTGAAAATCGAGTCGGAGCTTAAGCTCACTTTGTATGCTCGAGAACCTGTGAGTCATATTTTGCCTAGAATACTTTGACGATTTCTTGTCTGCAGTACGTTTGTAAATCACAGTGGACAATACCTACACCAATTGTGCAGTGCCGTTTTATAATTCGCTTAGGAACAAATAACGTACCGTAAGACACCGGTTATGTACATCGTTCATTCGCTGGAAAAATCCTTAGCAATCTGATTATAATTAGTGATTTTTGTTGTTGTTGTTTTAACAAAAATTACAATGATGTGTCTTAAATAGTAAAAGTTATTTTAGGGTGGTACCCTTAGAAATAGGGGAATTTTACAGGAATTCGGGGGAAGTAGCCTTAATAGACTTGGCATCCCTGGTACAGAGCTTTCATCAAACTCCTCATAAAGAAGAAAAAAATATCGAAATCGATCGAAATAACTGAAGCGATGCCTACAGTGTATGGGGTGTCTGGACCTTTAATTGTCACCATAAAATGCTCGATCCGAGAATTCGAGTACGGCAGGGAGTCGCTGGAATATGATCCCAGGTCAGAGCGTCCAAATACTGCCGTCATCTCCGTGTTTACAAGCTTTTATTAATCATCAATCATCATCAATTATTAATTATCAATCGATTTTAAACTAACTTCCCGACAAGCTAGTGACTTGAAAATTTCAGCATAGTTCCAATCACGATGACAATGTAATATTGAATATAAATTAATTTCCTAGATGGTCCAGGGGTCTTGATACGAAGGCGGTCAAAACACAGTAAAATTTATGGCTACCAGATCGTAATTTGTCAAAGAAGGTAAAAACGCCGTAAATTTGTTAAATAATAAGTATAGTTTCAGGCGCTAGTAAGAGAAATACCGGAAAATATATTTTCAGCTGTGTTTAACATGGCCAAATTGTTAAATATTAGGCACTTCTGTTAAGAATTACATTATTTGGTTTCCTCACACAGGGAGTTAGTGAAATATAGAGATGCGATAAAAAGCGCGCAAAATGCACATGCATGCATCTAAAAAGTGTACATACATTCAATATCCTGCGGGCGAAAAAATTTCAGTTAGTACGATGTGTTACTTCTGAGTACTGTTAAGGTGATGCGGATAATGCTACATTGTGCCATGGAATGTTAAAGGTAAACGGAAAACAATTGTCTATAATTAATAAATTCCCGTATCAAGACCGCTGGACCATCTAGGGAATTAATTTATATTCTATATTGCATTGTCATCGTGATTGGATTGATTTGAAATAACAGCTGTTGTTTGTTTACATCCGAAAGCAAATTTTGTAAAATACAAAAATGAAAAATAGCACAAAAGTTTCAGAAATGTAGGTATTTGGTATTTTTATTAGCCATATAAGATAAATACACATAAAATCATTGTATAGAGCTGATTTGTTATTTCCGGGCACAAAATGTCGTTTTTTGCGTTCCTCACGCTCTGGGAATTTTTGCCACGTGTTGACAAATTTTTGATACTTATGAGAGAGTAAATTATTTTTACGCTCGAATTACTGAAATAGCCCTGCATAGTGATGTGAATATTATCAAGTATCGAATAGTATGTATTTGATACTGTTGAGCAATTTGAGTATTCGATGAGTATTGAAAAAGTTATGTTGATACTTCGATACTCAATCATCTTCGTTAAAATATATTTTCATAACAAACGTCACCAAAGCAAAGTAACGGGTTGCAAAATTTACAATGGTTGAATGGAGAATGGTTGGGGAGCAGTGTATAACTAGGTTCCAAATTAATAATTTACCGGAACACAACGTGGATCAAACAAACGGCAATTCTCTTTGGAGTGACGTCGAGATCCGCTCGCGTGGTGGAAAGAATGGGAAAAATATATCCCCAAATAAATAGCTGAAATAGTAAAAACTTATTTATGGTGACAATAACCTTCAACAGCAGTTCAGTAGTTTTTATTAAATGTTTTCGAGTGAAAACATTTTTACTAAAAAATAGTCACTATGAGTATTAGTTTTGGTATAAGGGATTTTGAACGGAGTAATATAAAAGTATCGAGTATCGAATACTTTTATTCGATACTTGTTTCCCAAATATCGAGTATCGATCAATACTTGAAAGTATCGAAAATTTACAGCGGGGCGACGAATAACTGAGAAATAAAAGGGGTCTTTATAGATTTTGCGAAAAATGTATTTTATTGTTAATTTTCCACAGATTTTACTTTAGTTGTATTAATTAGTTTTTAAATTTTAATACTTATTTACATTTGCCAGCAGTGTAAACTTTGAGAGAAGAGTTCATTTGGCATACAGGTCTTCGTCAGTTAATTTAATCAATATCTTCTGTAACCATAGGCAAAGTTTATTCATTTTGAGTCCCCGTTTTGTCCAACAAAAGGCCTCATTTCGACCGACCTTATACAGTTTTTTCTATTTTTGTATTTTTTTTATACAAAGCCTTAAGCTGAGATCACACGATTGCCGAAAATGCACCAATCTGCAACAATTTTTATTGTGCTGTATTGGAGCACAATAAAAAATTGTCCCAATCAAATTCTGTACAGTCACACGGTTGTCCCTTTTTATACAATTTTGATTGGCGTAAGTTAGAGCTGGGATACTATCGATAGTTTTTGAAAACTATTGATGTCGGGTTTAGAGAAACTTCTCTCTTCTTTACATCTCTTATCATTCATGATTCTTTTTTTATCCAAGGAAATTAACAATACAGTCGACAAAAAAAATTTTTAGTTATTGGAATTTTTAGCAACTATATAAGCTTACACTGAGTCAAGTAAAATTCAATAAGCTATAAAACCGCTTACACAAAATTTTTATAGAAAATTTGAATTAAAAAGCTTGAAATTTTAATGATTTTGTATTTTCTTATGTTTTGTACAACTTTTATAAAAAATTAGTAGACACTAAACAAACAAAAAAATAGTCAAAACTGCTAAAAATGTTGTGGTGCTATTATTTTAACAGGTACTTTATTCGTTGTCTTATAATATGGTGAAATGTTAATAGTTTCCTTTGTCCGCATTTTGATATGCGCCTCCACATTTGATCTCAGTTTAACTTTTATAAGTATGAGTTGTCAATTTAAACGAATATCTTTTGTTTTGTTTGTTTTGTAGTGTTAGAAATGAATTATTATAGCTAATTTCTCTTCTTTGCACTTCTAAAGGGACAAACAAAATCCGAATTTAATTTTTCCATATAAGAAATAAATTCAGATTTTGCCTGTCGCTATTCAAGTGGATGCAAGTGTATATAAGTATACATAATTCAGACGCATAAATTAGTAATTTTATTTTATTATTATAAAAAGTTCTTTTTGATGCACTCGAATTTAAAACTATTTATATAATCTCTTTAATTTACAAAGTAATTTATAAATTTTATAAATTTATTAATTATTTAATTTTCATGCAATTTAGCATTTCAATTCAATACATCTCACGACGATAGTAATATCGATACTATCGATGTTTTCAACTATCGTTTCGAAAAATATCGGGTGGCGGTACTATCGATAGTATCCCAGCTCTACCGTAAGTGGTCGAAAAGCAATATAGTGACAATAATTGCCCCACATTTATCACACGATTGTTCTAGTATGCAGCAATTGTGATAATAAGATGTTGCGCTGACTTCTAAATTCTGTTTTGTTCTTTGTTGTGTAAAATTGGCGTATTCTTTAAAAAAAAGAAAGAAAATTGCCCCTGCTTTGTATATTTTGGGCTCATTTATTTGTTGTTGTTTGAAAGCAAAGAAGCAAAAACTTGAGTCCAATGAAAACTGACGCATTTATTTGCAAGTTTGAGCGCACAGTTTTTTTTTTATTTTTCGACGATAACTGCAACGTGCTATGTGGAGTTCAAGTTGCGATAGTTTTCTTCTTAATTTTGGTACGTACCTAGAGGTTTTTTTTTTATTAATTACTAGTAAAATTGGTACAAAATAATTATGTATGTTTAAAAGAAAGCTGTGAATTTATATAATTTATGTTTGGAATGAAATTTTTTAATTATATGTACAGCTCGCAACAAAAGATAGCACCTGAACATTTTAATCAGTCTTTAATTTTTTCTTCCGTTTGTTTAATGTAAATTTTTTCTAGAAATCCATAGGTCGTTGTTTAGTAAAAACGACATAAATTCAAATTTCAAACTTTGTACAACAATTATAGACATTTCTTAAACTTTTGATCACAATTCAATGGTTTTTATTTTGGATTTCTCGAAAAAATTTTGTTATGCAGTTTACAAAGTAATTTGCATAGAAGAAAGTGCATAATACCACCAGCTAAAAAAATTATATAAAATCGACGGGATTTTTTAGCAACTTCAAACTTGCACCTTATTGTGCTAAATTTTAATGAGTTATAAAAGTGAATAACAATTTTTTTTCCTAGAAATCCAAATTAAAAACCGTGCAATTGTGTTCAAGAGTTTACAAATTTTTATATTTTTTTATAAAGCTTTCAATTTTGATTTATGCGGTTTTTGTTAGACAATGAGCTATACTTTTATAGAAAAGTAATGAACACTAAACAAATAGAAGAAAAATAGTCAAAACCGGTCAAAATGTTGAGGTTCTACCGTTTCGTCGTGGGCTGTATTGAACTTTTAAGTTTTTTTTTTTTAATACATTTATACTGTCATGGCAGTTCGCCAATTGGTGACATAAAATATCTTTCGTATTCTTCTCGGATGAGTTTTGCTTGTGGTGTTATATATCGCAGCAAAGATTCCGTCATCGGACTTCAAGAAAAATTATAATTTGAATACAAATTATGTAAATTAAAAGTTATGTTGCTTCCGAAAACAAGGATATTCATTTCAATGATTTTTGGACACAAAAGGAAGCAAAAAAGTAAATTTTTAATAAACCGCCTAAATATTGTTGTCTATTGTTCACTTCAATTGCCGCACAAGAACACAATAAATATTGCCGCAATTTGGAAATTTTCATTGCCCCATGATTGCCAATCAAGCTATCACACGATTGCCGCAACCGGGTTGCATTTGATTGGGCATTGTAAGCACAATAAAGGCCCCTATTGCCGCATGAGTCAATTTATTGTGAAATCACACGATTGGGGCATAAAATGAGGCAATCGTGGAAAAAATACACCTGAAAAAGACTTGCGTGCCAAACAAACTTTTCTCTCAAAGTTTAAACTGCTGGCATATGTAAATAAAAATTAAAATTTAAAAACTACTTATTGCAACTAAAGTAAAATCTGTGGAAAATTAACAATAAAATACTTTTTTCGCAAAATCTATAAACGACCCTTTTATTTCTCAAAAAAACCGGGGTACCAGTTATTGTCCCTTACAACGTTATTCCCATCCGATTTCGCTACTGCAAAGCAAATGGACGCCATTACGAATATGAAGTTCTAAAATGAAAAAAAGGAAAAATAATCACCCGTTTTATTCAATTATCCATATGTATACCATATGCTAAGTACATACGTACATATATATGTGCCAAGTACATGAACATGCATGTATTTAGAAGATGCTAAAGAAATATTAAAAAGTCGCCTTTTTTTAGTGGTCTTTAAATTTTAGTAACACTCAATTGGGTATTTCCTTGACAGCACGAGTGCTGTTTGCTCTATTTTCACGTTCTCTAAGTGGCTTGGTGCAACAGCAGGTAACCAACAAATGTTGCCACACTCACAAGCATTCATCATAGGTTTATTGGATCATTGAGTCACATTGCACGTTTCCAGTTAAATGTGGGCGGCACTCTTAGTTTGTGGCTCAAGTTGAAAGTATTTTGTTGGAAGAAATACTACCCTCTAAGGGAGAGGCTTGGCCATTATTTGGTTTGCCGAGTGTTTGATTGCTTGAGTTAACAAGTTTTCTGATGCGTATGCACGTAGTAAAGAACGTACATAAAAAGTTTCAAATTTCGATTAAAGGAAGTT